GATTATTTTATTGCATACAAGTTTGAAAAAACATCTGGTGCTGGAATACAATTAAAAGATTCTAATGATTTTAAAAATTTATATTAGATAATAATAAAGCAATAAAAGAAAAAAAAAATCTTATAATTATGGTTACTATGAAAAAAAATTAAAAAGCTTAAAGAGAAGGTAAATCTTTTTTTATTAATCTTTATTAATTTAATAATTTATATACAAATATTTATATTTATTATATTTTTATATAGGCTATTGAAATTAGTAAAGATTCGTCAGCAGATGAAATTAAGATTAAATCAAAAAAGCAAAAAACTGTACCAAAAGAATCTAGCTTATCCGAAGCTGAAAAATTACATGGTCAATATGTAAATTTATTACAAAAAAAATATTGGTGTACAAAACATACAAATACATGTTTAATTGAAGATAATTTTCATATCAAATTAATGGCAATGCATCTTTCAATTTGGGCTAAAGAAATTGTATATATTTTATTTTAACTAAATTAAAATTTAAAACTTTAATTAAACTTTTTATAATATATAGATAAATGGTATTGGATCTATTGAAGTACCACCCACTCATTCAATTTTTAATAACCAACATACTCATAATAATAATGATAAACCTAAATTACAAAATAATGCAATACTATAATCAAATAACAATAATCCTCAAGCTATGCAATCTATAATTATTCCTATTTCATATCCATTATTACAAACTGGAGTAGCTGGAATTAATCAAGAAATGTATAATCAATTTTATTCTAATTCTTCATTGCTTCAATTAAATAATTTACGCAATAGAAAATTATCTATTCCATCATTAGATAATTTTCTTACACAAGTTGATAGCGAATATGGAAATACTGGTGAATATATACTGTTTAAAGATGCATTTGAGAATGAAAATATAACAACTGATATGTTATCCGATTTAACTGATAATGAATTTAAAAAATTGGGTGTTAATAAAATAGGGTGGAGAAAAGTATAAAAAAAGCTGCAAAATTATACAATTAATAGATATTATTTTAGAGTTTAATATATATAATTGTATAGAAAAATAGATATATTAGTTATATTTATTGTTTGATTCATATTTTTTCAAATATTTTTAATACTTGTATCAAATATTAACTATAAATAAAATATATACATACTAATATCATAGCTAATTATAGTATCAATTTGATATAATTCAAAACTCTAATTTATTTTATAGTAATATTTAACTATTAGCATCTTTTACTTTTGCGGTTTTGTTTTAATTTTTTATTTTTGTAACTATGAAGCTCCATGGCTGCTGTAATAGTAGAAGGATTTTGTCTTTATAGTAATTAGGCTGCAAGAATGCAGTAGTACAAGGATTTTGTTTTTGTAGTGAATAGGTTTCAAGGCTGCAGTATAGTAGCAGTGCAAGGATTTTAGTAATTAGGTTCCATTGGGGATGTATGTCAATTAAGTAAATCAAAACTATATGTGGTCACTAATGTCAGAGCTTACTGAAATTTTTTTATTAGTATGATTAATCAGTAATATATATAAAAATATATAAAATTATATACTTTTTATATATAAAAATATATAAAATTGTGTACTTTTTTTAGATGCACAGGTTGAAATTTCTTTTTTCACAGAAAATCTTGATGCCAATCAACCCTTTCCTATCCCAGTAACAAAATTACAGAGCTATTTTTTATATTATATATGGAGAACGAATTTTTTCTTATTTTATATGTATTTGTTGTTTGGATAATTTGATGAAATTTAAGCTTCTGGCAAAATTTTTTTAAACAAATATAAAATTTGGCTCTGTAACTTGCATTGCGGAAACCTTCTATCGATCTATTCAAAGCTTGAAATTCCAATTTTTTGTTGTAAGAGCCCTGCATCTAAATCTATATCACAAAAAAATTTTATAGCAAAATTTTATATTATACTATATATAGTTTTGATTTACTTAGCTGGCAGACAGCTTCAAGGTTCTATGGCTGTGGTAGTAATTAGGCTGTAGTATGAGAACCTTGACAGTTAGTCTTCACAGATGCGGTAGTAGTGCAAAGATCTTATTTTAGGCTTCATGACTACTGTAGTAGTGCATAAACTTTTGCTAAATGGGTTGCAGGCTCTATGGCTGTGATAATAGTACAATGTATTTAAAAAACCTACTTTATTTTTAATCACCATAACTTAATCCTATATATACCTGAGTACTCACATACATATGCATAAACTTTACTTACTGGCCTTGCATTGTACTATGTGCTGCGCAGCTACCTTAATATTTATAAACCTATATTTTACTATGCTAAAGACTACTATTTAATATTTATTTAATAATAAACTAATATTATTACAACTTATAAATATATTGAACTTTTAAAAAAACTTTCAGCTAATTGAGGAGTTACTTGTGCATACATAACCATCAAATTATAAATAGGATCAGGTGAAGCTTGCATAAAATCTCTATGTCTCTTAATAAAAGCTTTAATCTAAGCAAATGCAGTTTCTATCGGATTCATATCTGGTGAATAAGGAGGTAAATATTCTATTTTATAACCAAATGCTTCAATATATTTAATTAGCTCAGAGTTATGGTGAATACGCGCATTATCAAGTACAAGCACACTATTAGCATGTGAATATGGCTGCATTAAAGGAATCTAATAAAAAGTTAATTCAATATTTGTTAAAATAAAAGTTTATAACATTATAACATTGCAATTTACCACTTGATTAATAATAAATTGTTTGAATCGCTCTTTGGTACAAGTTCCTTCAATTATGTCAACAGCAATTATTCCATCTAGTGATAAAGCAGGCAGTAATATAAATCTCTTTCCACGTATAAACACAGTTTTTTGAACTGCACGAGTATTTCTAAATGAATATCTATATTTTCGTGATAATGATCTTTCATCCTTAGAAGCTTCATCTAAAAATATAAGCTGATTAGCTGTATAGTTTTCACCCATATGTGCAATAAAAGCACCACGCAA